GTCATTTATTGATTTTTATTGAATAATCATACATTTTATTTGTATAGTACATTTCACTCAAGAAATTACGCATGTGATTTATAATACAATTAAATATACCTCCATAGTTAATAGAATTTTGGGTAAAATAGACGCGTGTTAAAATACCATGAAATTGAGTAAAAAAAGACGAAGAATATAAAAGACTACTGACTTACTGATGATTGACAGAGGCATAGCATAAGATTAAAAAATAAAACCCAAGGAATTATGAGTAGTATCTTGATCCGTAACCACATATTCAGAATTCACTTGCATCAATAAACACAGTAGCAGCATCTCTATTCACTTCTACTTTGTTTTGTTCTTTTCTACATCATTGGTGGAAGGTTGAATTTTCTCACAAAGTGCACTCAATCCATACTGTATGTATTAGTTTCAAATGTTCAATTGGTTTCTCTGATGATATTTGTAGGTATGCAGCCAATTCTTTCGTAAAACCAAGAGCTGTCTGCAAGACAACAATTCTCACTTTCACCAACTCTGTCGAGACAACATTTTTGGCTTTGAAAACAGCCATGAGGTCTTCTGTCCTTTCTTCCAAGAAGTTGCAAGCCAGTGTAACCAATCAAGAATCAACCGATTTTGGAGACGTTTAACCAGATGTGGTAAGCACTCTTAAAACTATACTGAAAAAAATATATATATGTTAAAAACATTTGCACGATTGCTGATTTGAAGAACACATGATGTTATTTCCTAGTGTCTGTGGTTTAATGCAGAGAAACCAAGTTGTCCAGGAGACCTGATTTATGAGAAAAAGGGTCCCGCATTTATTCCCAGCTGCTCCAACCCAGACCCTGCACCCTTCTACCAGGAACTTACTGAAACCTGTGTATGTCCAAGAGGTGAAAGGAATTTGTCTTTGTGATGTAGCTCTTCACATGTTTGATAGTTTGTTTACCCTCCATGAGCCTGATAACATATGTACAAATCTGTATTTTAGATAAAGTCTTCAATAATCATGCAATTGGTCATCACTGCATTCCTGAGTCCAGCTGCTCTTGTGAGTTTGCTGGCAAGAGCTACGGAAACGGAGAAATACGGAGTTCCAAGTGTCAGTCATGGTAATACACTTCAAACTTTATTTCAGACTCACAAGATGATCCCCAGCAAAAAAATGGGTGTATAAACTGTTTTCACACCTCATTTTAAGTTAAATAAACTTAATAAAATGAAGTCATTTATGTAAGTTTTTAATTTAGATTTTATCTTCAAACAGCACGTGCCATGGTGGTAAATGGCGATGCTCAGAGAACCTTTGCCACAGAAAATGTGTCATTGAAGGCCAGTTTGTGACAACATTCGATGGAAAACAATATGTCCTCCCTCGCAAATGTTTATATGTCGCTTCAAAGGTAATTTTTCCCAATTCGCCAACATGTAATATTATCATTGTATTACCTATTTCTTACTAATGTCGTGTTCACACCAAACCGGACGCAATTTATTACAAAGTTTATGCACAGACACAATGAGACTGGAACAAAGCAAAATTGCAATAGCGGCGCATTTGTTGCGTCGACCTTGCAGCAAACTCAATTCTGGCGAAGTTGACTGAATTTGCGCCAAACTGCAAAACGCACCAAATGTGAATGTTTAAAGATTTTAACTTTGGCGACGAAATGGCGTGACATTTTCCCCCTGTTGTCACTGAAGTCCTGCAGTTTGTAAATCAGACAAAAATAATAGTAACGTTAACTGTGTGTGGGTACCACGAGCTCTACGACACATCCTCGTACCTATATTGCTAGCGTTCTAGGGAAGACTTCACTACACCACACATGCATTTTTTGAAACATCCTATCATTGCACTGAATAGTAAACTACGGCATATTAAATTAGTGGATAATTATATTGTTAGGACGGACTCCTACTAAATATTAAGTAATATTGTAGGGCTATCTAGGGTTATCTAACTGGCTAACAATTAGCCTTACGTACCACTGAATGCGGCAGTTATCCAAACGCATTTTTTTAGAAGTTGGTGAAATTCACTAAGCTGTCTGCGCTTATGAATGCTATTTGTACCAAATTTGGTGGTCCGACATGAGTAAGACGGCAGACTCTTCCACAAAAGGTACATAGTCTATATGGCTTCCATGGTTGATGCGGAGGAAAAACAATGGCGGAAAGTTGAACTGTTTTCACGCTTCTTCCCGGGGCCACTCTCCAGCGTGTCGAGCGTGAAAGATGCAAGGCATGCAAATTAACCAGAAATGGTCCCAAGACCACTCTGCGCAATTAGAGTCTCTTAGGCGATGCGTTTGGTGTGAATACCACATAACTACTGTTTTTCTTTAAAGGGCCCCAACTGGATGATAACAATACAGTTTAATCAAAAAGGACTCTCTCTTAGAAAGGTCATGGTTCATCTTTCAAAGGTACAAGCAATCTTTGAATTTAAAACATAATCTGTCAAACAATTGTAATGCAACACTAGGGTGCCGTCATGGAATATAAACAACTTTTCTTTTGCAGGAACTGTTTGTATTCAAAAATAGCAAGGTTGTGTTTGAAGGGCGGGAGATCATGGAATTCCATCAGACTGGTAAAGACAATTGGGAATAAATCTAGTAAATTGCATCAATTGTCTGGACTTTAATTTGAATGAGTAAACCGTCTAGTTGCCTAGCAATCCAAAATGAGTAATTTACTTTCCCACCCATTAATTTACTGAATTTTCTCCTTTAGATCATGCTCAGGTTTACTGGCTGTCTTCCATGTTCGTCCAGGTCCACACGACCTGTGGTATACATTTCCAAATTCAGCTATCTCCTGAAATCCAGCTGTTCATCGACACACCCGACAAGTCCAATGACAAGATCAAAGGTAAGGATCTGCGTCTTACACGCAAAATATATTCATTTGGGGATCCACATTCGTTATGACATTAATTAAATTAGCTTAAATTAGTTGAAATGAATACAAGAATCAAGGAAAGAGTATACATTATTGATTTGTAATCAGAGGCATGTCTTTTAGGTCTTTGTGGCAATAGCAACAGTGACACCACAGATGACTTCACCGCCAACAGCGGGATCATTGAGAACTCAGCTCAACCATTCGCTCTGTCGTGGAGTTTGGGTCATTGTCACGGGAACATACCCAGCAACTGCACCAACCGTGAAAATGGTACCAATCAATATTATAAATGTGTTAAAAATTCATTTTTTTCTGGGAACCAGTCATTTGATTGACAGAACACTTGCATGATGCTAAGGACCGCACGGAATCCAGTCAGGTAGAAGCTCCTGAGATAATGGGATATATTCATTGGTAGTACATATTTACACAGTGGGTTATGTGTACTGTAGCTATTTGCTAGTTGTTGCAACTCTGCATGTCTTAGCGGTTGTATTTTTACCCAGAACAAGGAAGCACAATGTTGGGTGTGAAGCACTACCGGAGAATCAGCAATAGGCCATGTCATGTTGTTGTAGTGCTGGACCCAGGAGCAGAATTCATACAGAAAGGAATGGTTGGCAGACTGGGAGCAGGTTGATTCCACATGGCAGGACTGACAATCTGGCAATGACCGGAGTGGAGGGCAAGAGCATATCAAGCATGGCACTTGAGTAGCCAGATTCTGCTGGTCAATTGGTAGGAAGGGCACTCCTCAGACCATGAGCGGGGGGGCCCAGGCAGCCGACCAGGCTTGTCCGGATGAGTCTAGTGAAACTCCCTGAGTTGGGATCCAAGATGAAGGACCGAGAGACCCACCACCTCTGGACTATAGCCCTCCCAGTCAACCAAGATACAAGAACCCCTGCCACAGCAATGTACATCCAAGAGCTGCCAAACCGAGAAGGCAGGCGAAGGGGGTCGAGTTGGAAGAGGGCAGACGACTGGCGGACACTTGTTTTGACTATGAAACATGGAATGTGGGATGGACTCTTATGGTGAGAGGCAGTTTCAGCCCAGGAGCTGGATTTGGATTGAGCGGAGTAGGGCAGAGTGACTGTTTCTCTAAATCTTACAGCAGTGGCAGAGGTGCATTTGAACAGAACAGCCATCTCATTCTCTTGACAGGGAAATAGGTGTGGCCAACAATAGACTCAGATGGGGATAAACCTGTGGCAGCGCTGGTCAAGCAATTATGGGCGTATTCAACCCATGGATGTGAGCGATGGGACTGGTGGTGGTTACACACTGTAGAGCAGCATTTATCCAGCACCAACAGTGGATGAAGATGGTTTGGTTATACCAGCAGTCAGTGACTCCTCGATATAGTTCTCCATGGCCTCCCTCTCTGGAGGTACATGTTTTAAAGCCTGCTAGTGGGAAGAGGAGCACCGGAAAGGAGATCAATGGCACAGTCATGAGGACAGAGAGGAGGCAAGGAGAGAGCGAGCTCTTTACTGAACACCAAACATAGATCATGATACTTAGCAGGTATGGTGGACATATCTGAAGGCAAAGAGCTCGGTGGTGATATGGTGACATCTGCCGGGGACAGGGCTGACTGTCCATGGCAGAGACGGAGAGAGTGACAAAATGAGCTCCAGCCAAGGATTCTCCCTTCAGTACATGTGTGGGTTGTGTGTCCATAACCAAGGCTGACCCAAAACCTGAAGGGAGTTAGGGAAGGCAGACTGGGAGAAGGGTGTTTCCACATGGCAGGACTGACAATCTGGCAAAGACTGGAATGGAGGGCTGGAGTGTATCAAGCATGGTGCTTGAGTATTGGATGTGTAACAGCTGTGCCGGTCAATTGGTAGCAGGGGCACAGCTCTGGTCATCACAGGCCATTTTTGATTAGGCACATTTGTGAAAGGGCACTGCATTAGTGTTTATAAATTCACAATCAATATTTGATTTGTCTACCGGGATGACAAGTTACTTAAAAGAATATAACATCAAATCATACAACTTTAAAACGTTGTCATTTTTCATATGATACCAATGCAAGCAAGAAGTTTAAAGAAATGTATTAATGATTTCAATATGTATTTTTGTAGAGAATTATGCTCATGAAAAGTGTGCAGTGTTACACCAACCAACTGGGATGTTTGCTAAGTGCCACCCTCATATCCCAACTGATTACTACTACACGGTAACAATACTTTTGCCCCATACCAAATCCTTTATAAGTTTTGGGGTTTCAGGAATCAACATATTCATTATGTATTTCCAGGCTTGCATCCAAAGAATATGTAACACTGGCAGAAGTCGGAGAGAGGCCTTGTGTATTGGTCTGGCCAGCTATGCCAAAGCCTGCGACGGTCTAGGTGTTGTTATTGGTGACTGGAGGAGAAACACAGGCTGCAGTGAGTTTACTTCTGAAAAATATTCTATGTGCATCCTCCCACTTTATTTTCTAGAGTTCACTGAAAAGGACGAATGTAGGTACGGTATGTTCAACAAACTAAAACAAATCAGTTCCATTGGTTTTATAAGATTGTTATCTTATCTTTTTTGATGATAACACAATGACGATTAAAAACATTTAAGATTCCAAATGTTTACACGAGTACATCTTAAGTATTTATACTGATTATAGTTGAATCAACAACTGTTTGTTGTTGAGTGTAAAGTAAGTCAGTGTCACATTTTAGTAGATGTAGTACACATATGTCAAACCCGGGGACGACTTTGCTATTGTGAGAATTACATAACGGTCCTCACGCATACATGGTCGCTTCTGCTTCTTTTATATCGATTCGTCCCTCCACCTCATGATTTTAATGGTCTTTGGTCTTTTAATAGTCTTTAATGGTTTGATCGAGGTGAGCAGTATCTGGCTTGAACCTACAATCAGTTTGACACCCCTGATGTAGTATAAATAAATCATTGGTGCATTTACTTACTGTGTCTCAGATCTGAAATGCCAGAAGAACCAAGAATTCTCCTACAACATGCATACCTGCAACCGCACATGCACTTCTCTGTCCGGCCATGACATTCGCTGTGATATGGACGACGATCCTGTGGAGGGCTGTGGCTGTCCGGAGGGAACTTACCTGAACCAAGGACAGACCTGTTCCCCAAAAAAGGAGTGTGCTTGTACTTACTACGGTGGGATTGCAGACCCGGGGCCTGTTGTTATCTCAAGACAAAAGTGGTAAGGATCTTCTGAGTATATACAGCCAGTCTATAATAATAAGACTGCTAATGCTTGAGGCTATTACCCGCTGTCTTCCTTAACCCTGTCTATCCAATGCAGTAATAGGGCACTCAATCTCCACCTTTGATGTACACATACTGTCGCAAAATTGTGTTATATCTCAACACAAATGTGTTTATTTCAGCAACTGCGAGAATGGGGTACTGAGCTGTTTACCGGATTGTGGTGAATATAAATTCTTCTATCATAATTATCTCATCATCAAACTTGTCCATTGTTATCTTAATTCCATTATTTAAACTTCAATAATCTTTAACAAAATGCAATTCAAACTTGGCAATGCATTTACTTGTCTCAAATATAATTCACACAGATTGCAAAAATGGGAAGGTGTGTGTCAGTTGCTCTGAGGGCCCAGTCAACATAGTTAAGAAGACCTGTGACCATATCGGGAAACCACTGGTAAGTCACCTGATTTTTTTGTTATGCTTGTTTGTCTGTTTATTTGTATACATTCTTTAATTGAAATCAGTAACTAGTTGCAATTTAAAACATATAATATAGCTATTTAATATCATTAGGGATATGTTTTAAGGTAATGTGATGCTTAACTTAATTGAGTGTTACTGATATTTTACCTTCATGTCAGTCAATTTTATCCTTAATATCAAAAAGAAAGGTTTATTTTATTTTTATTTCATTTTAATTTTATGTGATTGACAGGATACCAGTGAGACCTGTGAGAGTGGCTGTTACTGTCCAGATCACCAGTATGAGGATCACTTTGGGAACTGTGTTTCACTCGATGAATGCACCTGTGTTTTCAGTGGCAAAGCATTCAGAACAGGACAGCAAGTCAACAGCAGGTGTAAAACATGGTAACCCCTAACGCCTACTTATTAGTTTAAAGGGTCTTATCTCGCCAAACGCTGATGGAACTGTGAATAAAAGGTGTCCATCCCTCTATGTTACAGTACCTGTTATCGTGGTATGTGGCAATGCACTGAGAAGCCTTGTCCGGGACAATGTCAAGTTTACGGAGATGGACACTACCAGACCTTTGACTCCAAATGGTACCGCTTTTCTGGACAATGTCTGTACACACTTGTGCAGGTAAGACCAAACTAAAAAGTAGGAATGAAATCCACTCACGCTCATACGTGTTTCTAATCCTTTAAATGACACAGCATATCATCCAAATACTAAAGGGCTTTTAACTCTTCTTGTTTCAGGATTCCTGTGGAAATAAAAAAGGCACCTTCTCTGTCAGAGTGGAGAGTGTCCCCTGCAATCAGAATACGCTCACGTGCTCCCGCAATATCATCCTCAAACTGCAGGTGCATTTTTTTTTACTCTGACTGAATTTTACAGAGGAGTTTCAGTCACTAAAAGTTTAGTTGTTAATCAACACGTACATTGAATTTTACAACCCGAGTTCTACTTTTTTTAACCTAAAAAGGGCAAAGTCACCCTGACGCTGAGCGACATGCAGGTGACCAGACGCCTCCATAAAGGCTGGACTGGGCACGATGATTCACTTTACTCAATACAGACTTCGGGACTTTACATTGTAATCTCAGTTCCAAGCAAAGGGATAACTCTCATCTGGGACAAACACACCTGGATCACCGTAGAGCTGGCGGTTTCGTGGAAGGTGAGTGAGTAAAATCTAGTAATGTACATACTATACATCACTCTTCACTTTGATCCTCAGAAAAAAATTAAAAATGTTGGAGACGCTTCCCAACTTAGGCCTAAATTTGAATTTGAAACAAACATTTTATACGCTTACTTTCATCAACTTTAATTCTCAACTTTGCATTGATTTATTTCATCCAACAAGGAGAAATAAACTAAATTTCATATCGAAACAACCATCAATTTTAATGACCAACTTTCATAAAAAAAGAGTACGTCTCATTGTTGTATTCATCATAACTAATAGCTACATCCTCCAGCAGTTACCTACATTTTGTTAGTATTTTTTTAACTTTTGTATATATTTCACATTGACTTTCTAACCATCTCTCCTACAGAACCGAGTGTGTGGCCTATGTGGGAATTTTGACTACAATGAGATGAATGACCTAATTATACGTAGCTCATCAGGTAAATAGATGTTCTCTTTGTTTGATAAAGGACTTTTACTTTTGTCATGGTGTTCAAACTAACACCAAAAAAATATGTTTTCTAGTGTTCGGTCGCCTGGCATTTTGTAACAGCTGGAAAGTCCATACACATTCTTGCTCCGATGTGACCACTGAGATATATGCAGGTCAACGCAACTCCTACTGCACAGCCTGGGCCCAGCAGCGCTGTTCGGTCATTTCAGGAGAAACATTCAGTGAATGCCACTTAAAGGTGTGCATGTTACATATTTAGCACAGTACAAAGAAAAAGGTCAGGTGTTAGACTGCCATATATTTGGGATTTCCATATCCAAATCTGTTATATTGCAATATGAAATCATATATCTATTTAAAGACCCTAACAATGAGCCCTTAAATGTTCTATCCTGGTTGTTTTCTAATCCCCAGGTTGATCCAGATCCCTACTACGTTGCCTGTGTCCAGGAGTCTTGCTCCTGTGAGTTAGATGTACAATTCCTTGGCTTCTGCACAGCTGTGGCTGCCTATGCACAGGCCTGCAGCGAGCAGCATGTTTGTGTGAATTGGAGGACACCTGATTTGTGTCGTAAGTTAAGACCTTTTCTTTCCTGTGAGTAACAAAACGTGACCTTAACTCCAAAAGACACTGACATTTTTTAATAACTTCTAACTTAAAGCCATACAGATAACATGGATAACACAAGCACCGGTCTGTTCTAAAATTCAGTTCCTTAATGGGATGTCCTAATAGTTCCCAAACATAATTTAGATCTTTTAAAAAAAAACAATTTAATTCTATTGTGAAATGTGGGGAGATCAGTTTTTAAGACAGAAGTAAACTAAAGAGGAAAAGTAATTTGTTTTATTGAAAAAATATGTCATAGAGTTTACATACACACATTTAGACACATTTGGGGTGGGGGCCTAAAATTGTATATCATCAAATGTTGGCTTGACGGAAAACGTTTGGGAACCACTTAGTTATAATAATTGCCAAAATTAGTAATGTTAGTAAAGTAATGTTTCAAAACAACAAAACAATTTCTCTATTGAAAAGCGCTCAGTATAATTATTACTGGATGTTTACAAATTGTAAACCATAACGGTATATTTCTGTAAAAGTTTAACCTGTAATTATTCAAACTATAGCGATTGCCTGTGACTACTACAACGAGAAAGGACGGTGTATCTGGCAATATAAAGCCTGTGGTGAAATACTGACCTGTGGCAAAGAAAACGACATCTCTCACAAACTGGAAGGTAAACAAACGTTGTCATTTGTATCTGAACAGCTAAACTTAATTCTTAAAACTTGTCTTTCTGGAAACAATAATCACGTTGTAGGTCATATCAAAGTTTTTTTTTCTTCGATTCTAAGCATGAGAAACCACTGGCACTCATTTAAATACACATTTTGTTTATAATTGGAAAAGGCTGCTATCCCAAATGTACAAAGAGGGAGCCATACTATGATGAAAACACTGGTGGATGCAGCAGTTTGAGAAACTGCACCTGCTACTTTAATGGTGCTATCATTCAACCTCATGCAGTGGTTGTAATACAGAATGGTTTATGGTAAGTTGGGCCATTTTTGAGTCTTTTTTGTTCATTTTAGAATAAAAAATATTATACATATTTGGGACATTCTTAATGTATATGGACTGTTTCAAAATCGAAGAGTATTTCAATAATAAATAAAATAAAATAATAAATTAATAATTAAATTTTTCATTAATGTTGACAAATGAATATTCCTCACTTTGCTATTTCATTATTTTCAGCCGCTGTGAAAAAGGAGCAATGAACTGCGGTAATCGTCAATTATATTCATAAGCCACTGCATTTTCTATTTCATGTGTGTTTTACTGGTTACATAAAACCACGAGCTAGTTTTTGTGAAACTTTTCATTTTAAATAGTTTTGAGTTTGTGAAAAAAACAGAAACTGTTTTCAAAATACCGAACCTCAAATCCACCTCTTCTCCGACAGATTCTTCACTGGCCACCACTCCAACATCAAGCACTCCCCCCTTTCATGATTCCACAACCAAGGGTGTGACTCCAATGTCAAGCACTCCCTCCTCCACCGATTCCACACCCGAGGGTACGACTGGAATATCAAGCACTCCCTCCTCTACCGATTCTACATCCGATGGAACGACTGGAATATCAAGCACTCCCTCCTCTACCGATTCCACATCCGAGGGTACGACTCCAATATCAAGCACTCTAACATCTGCTGATTCCACACCTGAGGGTACGACTCCAATATCAAGCCCTCCAACATCTAGTGATTCCACACCCGAGGGTACGACTGGAATATCAAGCACTCCCACATCTACTGATTCCACACCCGAGGGTACGACTGGAATATCAAGCACTCCCTCCTCTACCGATTCCACATCCGATGGAACGACTGGAATATCAAGCACTCCCTCCTCTACCGATTCCACATCCGAGGCTACGACTCCAATATCAAGCACTCTAACATCTGCTGATTCCACACCTGAGGGTACGACTGCAACATCAAGCACTCCAACATCTACTGATTCCACACCCGAGGGTACGACTGCAATATCAAGCACTCCCACATCTACTGATTTCACACCTGAGGGTACGACTGCAATATCAAGCACTCCCACATCTACTGATTCCACACCCGAGGGTACGACTGGAATATCAAGCACTCCCTCCTCTACCGATTCCACATCCGATGGAACGACTGGAATATCAAGCACTCCCCCCTCTACCGATTCCACATCCGAGGGTACGACTCCAATATCAAGCACTCTAACATCTGCTGATTCCACACCTGAGGGTACGACTGCAATATCAAGCACTCCCTCCTCTACCGATTCCACATCCGATGGAACGACTCACACCTCTACTGTTTCCACAACTGACGGTGGGTGCCATCTACTTGTGCTGTTTTTTCAGTTATTCTTTCCACCAGTTCCTTAAATTACCAAAGTTATGATTTTGTAATTCTTTGTTGACCTTCTTCACCCGTTTTTTCCTCATCAAATCACCAGATTGCGAGTGTTATGACCTGAAGAATTATAAAATCTGGCAATGCGGTGAGGCGTGGACAGAGGATTGTTTCAATAAGACCTGTACAGGTGGGAAGATAGAGTTGACTCCAGTGGTTTGCCCGATGATGGAATTTCCTGAGTGCCCCAGAGACAAGTTCACAAAAGTCTTTGAAGGATGCTGTGAAACACTAAAGTGTGACTGTAAGTGTATCCATGTCTGTCTCACATGTCGCTTTTTTCCTTTGTGTCTAAAATTGGCTCTATATATCTATTTCTGAATGTTCATTGCTGACAGTTTAATATGGTCAGCATCTTTGTTTAGCGTGTGGCTCATCCTCTGTTCATTAACAGTTAATTTGGGGCGACCGTGATGCATGGAGTAGAGAGGGTGCGCCTGGAACCGCAGGGTTGGCAGTTCAAACCCCAGCTGCTCCATGTCCCCTGTCGAAGTGTCCCAGAGCAAGACACCCAACACCTAACTGCTCTCCCGGTGCCTTAACAGTAGCACTCAGAGATGAATTGCCCCACGGGGTCAATAAAGGATATAAAAGAAGAAAATAAATTTTCGGCACACAAACACAAATTGTAGTTAAAGCTAATGGATGTGTTTTGCAGGTGTTTGGCAAAGATGTTTAGTATTGGACAAATTCAAACGCTGACCAGAGGAGGGCACTAAATGAATAGTAAACTGATCACCACGTTTAATCCTGTATCGCAAAAAACATATGTGTTTTGTTTCTATATCTAATAAAATCCCCTCTTATCTTTTCAAGGTCATTGTGAGATATATGGGGACTCACACTACACCACTTTCCAAGGTGTTAAGTTTGATTTCCTGACTGAATGTACCAACATCCTGGTGAAGGAGATATCATCACATCCTAGTTTGTACATTTCTGTGGAAAACGAAAACTGTGTAGCAGGCAGGCATCGCTCCTGTGCTAAAAGCATCACCTTGAAATATCAAGGATCTAAAGCTGTACTCAGTATCGATCCAGACGTCTCTGAAGTGAAGGTGGGATAAAATACTATACAACTCTTTATAGGCTTTACTATATAAGGAATTAGAAATCTGGTTTGATAATGATTTAATCTACCCTAGGTCACTCTGAACGGCGTGGTTGTACAGCCACCTTTGCAGGCGGTTGGGTTTAGGTTTGAAAGCACGACGCACACAGTGACAATCTACATCCCTGAGCTCCGCTCTTATGTGTCCCTTAGTGAATCCCATTCCTTGGTGGTCAGTTTGGCCATGGAGTACTTCCAAGGAAAAACCCAGGGACAATGTGGTGGGTAGTGTATTGAAAAGGACTGCCTTCTAGTTGATTTGAGTGCATGTTGATTTGTTTAATTAAACAGTAGTTGTTTGTCTGTGGAGTAGAGATGTCAGGTAATACAATACATATATGTGTGTGTATTGTCAAAATGTGGGATAACAACATTCATTCATCCCGTGTGTATTTTAGACATGTTGTTTATTTGTTAATGTTATTTTAAACACAAAACTACACACATTTGAGCCGTGCAGGGTAAAGTTAGATGTTAAGAAAGAAGTGGCCGAGCAGCTAGCTTAGCA